TTTGCGACAGAATGCTCTTCAACGGTCGAGACTCTTTTAACGGCAATTTCTTCATGCTTATCAGATGTAAATATATCGATTAATGAGTGTGGATTTCTTCTCATGATGCGACGCTGTTGGCCTGGTCCTTTCATGTCCAAATATGTTTTAGAGAGGCTGGTTTATTCAATTATTGAATGGATGAATGATGAAGATGAGAGGCTATTGATAATTGGAAAAGAATACACCGCAGCACGAAAGTTACCGGGAATTCGTGATGAAATAGAAGATAATCAACAGCAGAAAGGATATTTGCAAAATTCTGTTGGTGGGGGTGCTTATGTGATAAGTCGTAGAATGTTAAAAGAGAAATATATTTTGCAATGGTTATTTGCAGTTCACGAATTGAATGAGGAACTATTTTGTGATATTGTTTACAGCCAGATAAAAATGTTTTATGAAAATCAAAATCAGCAAGAAGATATTGATTCAAATGTAGGTCCATATTTAATAATGAATAATGTTAAAACAGACTAATTAATAAATTATATTATACATTATATTTAGAATGATTTTCAGTTTCATGACCGTATGCTCAAATGTATAATTAGACTCTGGAACGAAAACTTGCTTTTTACTTCATTTAATGAAATAGTTTCCAGATGGTTAGACGAAGTTTACCAGATAATGAAAAATCAACCCCAAGTAATTTTTTTTATCGAGATGATCATATTTTTATGAAATTTGGATGGAAGGTATTCTAACATAATTTAAAAAAAAATAATTACTATTTTTATTTGAATTTAAGAAATTTGTAGAAATACGGACATTGAGTAAGGTTTTCGGCCCGGTAAAAAACACTTCTCAACGAAAGAATCATGTGGATCAAATAACTGTGGCCACAGAGAATTACAACGTTAATATTAATATTAGCCCTATAGACACAATTACCCAATTATTTAAAAACAATAATGTTCAATTATCGCGAGCCTTGCAATGGATAGAATTGATGGTGCGTGCTGGGTAAGAATAAATTCGCTTAATATTTGCTATGACCTTACAAAGCTTATTAATTTTACTGGAATTTTTAGAGTTGGCCTTCCTGGCACAATATTTTCAGATTATATCTCATTATTAGTAAATGTTTCGCCAACGCTTGATCAGTACACAACCTTCTTGCAAATTATTTGGCACCAGGTTATGATTGGCCTAGGAAATATTATTCAGCGTGGTACTATTCTTAAAATCATATCAGATGCAAATGAAGCAGCTTTCGACATAATAAACAAAATAAGCAAAAAAGGCAAAGGCACAGAAATTGCAAGGTTGAAATTAGTTCTTATTGTTATTAAAACTTTTTTTTTTATGAAAATATAATTAATCAATTGCCTAACACTATTATCAATTCAGCGCTAAATTTTTTATCAAAACTACGCTTGTTTTGGCTTTATATTCTTACAACTGTCCGTTTGAAAGCATTTACAATCTGAATATTGTCGATCAGTCGTCTCATAAGCATCCTTCTACAGGGCAAGTCAATCTATCATAAAATATTGTGCTTTGTAATTTTGTCATTTATATAATCCTTATAATTTGTTATATGTATTTAGGACTTTTAAAAGAAAATCAAATATTATGGATCCAACACCAGGCGCCAATGTTACAGCAGACACTCCTTTAGTACAAATGTTTTTAAATTATGCAAGAATGGAAAAATTAGAAGTTCGTAGTGATGTCGTAAAGACGTTTTGGAGGCTTTTTGCATCTGCTAATCTTATTTTCAATAAAGATGAATTTATTATTAGTTGCATACCAAAGTTGTTACCAAGGTAGTTAAACTATAAATACTAATACATATATCATTATTTAATATATATTTACTTTGCATTTGTTTATTTTTCCAGTGTTTGGGAAGCATTGGCCCCTATATATGATGGGTCATCTGATCTAACATTACAGTTATTGATAAGAATTGTTTGGACGGACCCTCGTTTCTTTCTTACTTCAGTTAGTAAAGTGTTTGAGCATCCAAACTGGGAAATTAGGTAAATTACTTTGCTGATTGATATTATTTATAGAGAATTAATATGTGTATACTATTGTATATACACAGGTATTATTATATTTTAAAATTTTAATTCTAAGTCCACTTTGGGATTTAAAAAAAAAATTCACCGCAAAATTTAGTATAAGCTATACCTTTCTCTAGGCTTTAAAAATTATTCTTACTCTAATATAAACAGAATTAAATTAATACGCCTGTGTTTATATACTATGTGTAAACTAAGAAATTTTTTACTTTACTTATATACTAGATTTGCTAAATTTAATAATTAATATTAATTAGGTTTGATGGCCTTGACAATTTATTTGGACTATTTTCAAAACTTGATGAAAAATTTGAGGTTGCCAGGGCTGGTGTATTTGCTTATTTAGGCCCTATTTTTAGTTACTTCATTGGTTGTATCTGGGATCAAGAGGTTTGTGTTTGGCTATTGTTATAAAATAATAATCTTAAAATGAATTTTATTTACAAATTATGAATGTTATTTCAGGAATACGTTAGAACAAAGGCTATAACTTATATTAGAGCTATGCAACCACAACATGTTTATTTAGCTATTAAATGTTGGGATGCATATTTCAAAACAGCTTCTAATAGAGAGAAACTTTATTTATGCAGACTAATGATAAAATTAAATGCTAAATTCCCAGACTGGAAAGGTTTTTTTTTTTAAATCTTTAATACGTATGTTGTAAGCGGAAACGAAATTTATTTAAATGAATTTGATAAATTTAATGTTAAAGTTAAGATTGGTATTGAGGTTTTATATTGATTTATAAATTCTAAATATCAAAATTAATTAAAATTAATTAAGAAAGTCCAACTTCCGTTCACACTTACAACATTTATGTAAACTTTTTAGTAGTTTAAGTAACTAATAAATATGGATTTTCTTATAATGTCTAAATTTTGTAGTTATTGAGTGGGACACATTATTAAATTTCTTGACTCAAGAAAATATTGAGGTAGAAGAAGTGTCTACAACAGATATATTGGTAATTTTCTTACATAATTTGATGCTAAAAACTTTGTATCTTTGTATACTAGCTTAGATTTTTATTCTGTTCATTATAGGAAAGTTATGTTAGACCAGACAGCATACTGGTGGTTGGATTAAAGCGAATCCAAGCAGAAGACTCTGGCTCAACTCCGGGGCAGAGAGCTGCTGAAGAGGAAAATTTAAAGGTAGTTAGTTAAACTTTATTATATATAATCGATATGTTTTAAAAAAGAATATTATGTTGACAAAAATTAAATTATAATAATTAATATATTAAAATAGATTGTAATGTTGTCTTTAGCCCTCCAAATGCTAACTAATGGTATTGAAATGACGCATGATCAAATAACCACGTTAAATTACTTGGTAGTATCAAACCTAGGGTTTAAACATTGTAGATTAGACAAAGTTGATGGAGTTTTAAGTGTAGATTTTGGAAATTTTGAATATATGCCTGATGATTTTTCTCAAAATATGAAAATGGTATCAATTCTCGGAAATCTTAAAAGAGTACTTGACACACCAATATATCTTAAATCACAAAATGATGATGATGTGGTTGTTATTGATGATGAGTTGGCCGGTTCATATTTCATTGATGCTGTATTGGCGATGGTTAACTCTTCAGTTGATATGTCTAGTTTGAGCCATTTTATGTTGAAAACTTGGATCGAATTATTGCTCATTATTGTTTATAAGGTAATGGTTTTACATAATTTGATTCACTTGCTAAAAATTTGATTGTAAAATACCTTTTGCAATTACAGCATAAAATAGTTCAGGACAAATTAGACAAAGAACAACTCAAAGAACGAGAAGACAATTTAATCAACGCTATAAGAAAAACATTCGAACTAATACCAAAAAATATAACAGAAGAGAATAAACAACTAATCATCGAACTATCAACATCATTGTTAAAACGAGCGCATATGTTAACGGTTACTATACTTGGTACACAAATTATTACGACAGGGAAACTTTTGACGAAACACAAAAATGATACCAATAATACGTTGGTTATGAGTGCAAGAACATTTTTAAGAACGGCTTTTCTCAAATTTGCGAGACACGGACTATTTGTTTTGATTTTTAAGGTATGTTTGTCATTTTTCTGTGATTCTATAATAAACGGTTCTTGTTAGAATTAGATTTTTTAAAACTAGGATCAAGCAGTCGCAAATGATGACACCGAAGAACTTGACATGTTTAAGGTTCTTCAAGATGTAATTCAAGATGAACAAATCACATCTGAAGAAGCGTCGGGAACAATTTATTTGCGAGATGAACCTGTTCGTGATGTCTTCAATCAGCTATTCAAGTTTACGAATAAATCTGCTGTTTCATCTGTTCTCTGGAGTTTGAATAAATATATAGAATTGGTGCATTCTAAGTCATTTAATGATACATTGATTGACGGTAAGCGAACTTATGATATATTATATGGATGCCTTCAAGTGAAAACTTGTCATTGCGTTTCAAGTTTATTATCTACCGACTTAGTATGACTGACTTTTTAGAGATAAATTATAAATTTAAAAGCCAGATGTGTGGTTTGCCTTTAAGTTATCTTGGTCGTTCATTAGTGAAAAAATTAACCACATTTAAGATATTACGCTTAGTGGGAAAAAAATATATAAATATATACTTTGGATTAGAAAACTTGTATCTTAAATATATAACTTGCAATTAAAGAACACTTGGAGGGAACCAAATGCAAATTTTTTATATTTTTTGTTGATTAATTGGCATTACATAATTTTACAGATTTGGGAGCGTTCTTAACGAAGTTATCTAAACAAACAAGTGAATGGAAAGCAACTGATTGGGATGTAAATCCTGTGCTTAATATGATTTCTATTGTAGTTAGAAACAATCCTAATTCCGTAAAGGTGAGAATTACTTTTCGAAATTTGAGCTTATAATGTGATTGTTACTATTATTTATCTACCTCAAACCTGTATTTTGAACTTATTTCATAGGATATAATAACATCTATTAAAGGCTTTTTGAAGTATACAATCAATAAATGTGCTGTAACTATCGAATCATTTATAAAATTAATGGCATCTTACAAGGCAGTAGTCGAAATCATTTCTCCCGATGATGTCAAAACTAATGCTTTTGGAGAAGTTATCCTTGAAGAACTCAAAACCTCTCTCCGTGGGACTAGAATAAGAATGAGTAGAGATACTTTGATGACTTTATTGCAGGTATGAAAATATATTATTTAAATGCATGTTCCTATTTTTATTCACACATCTAACAAATTAATAAATTCAATTTTA